CATTGCTGCAAATGGAAGTGACATCATCTGTATTGCCCCCATTGATCCGCTTGTAGTCTGCAGCCAGGATAAAAGGATAAAAGGAAATGGCATCAGGGAGGAAGTATGCTTGATTTAGGCACAGATCCCAGAGTGATAATGGGGTAATAATAGAACTCACACCACTGTCACGTCCTAGCGCAGTCCTTGCCTGGGAACCTTTGGCAGACTTCCTTCATCCAGGCAGGCTACATACAGTTCCCTGCAAGGTGGCTCTCTGTGGGTGTCCACATGGGCTGGAGCAGTTCCTTGACACGCACGGACCCAAGGTCAGTAGCGAACACTTCCAATCACAGATGGGTCCGGCTTCTCCTGCTTGGGTTGCGTGGGTGGTCTTCTGGGGCAGGGAGTGAGTGATGCACATGACAGCCATCAAGCCTCTGAGAGTCAGAGCTTGTTTTCTTGATGCTGCTTGGAGGCGAGGGTTGATTTGGAAGTGTCATGTTTTCTTTCCAAGAGCTTGTGTGGAAACTTTAAAACTGGGCAGCTGGCCTCAACTTTTTAGTTGACTTGGAAAAATACAGGATTGACATTTTTCCTTTGTACATTTCTTGGTTGTTAGAACTATGGACTCCTCCCTTGTAGGGCAAGAATACCGACTTCCAAATCCTCAACAGACAACATTTATACCCTTCAGCATTTTATTTTGTATATATTAATTTCAGTGAGCTGTGTGGTTTTATGAAGTTCTTTCAAATACCCACATGATTTTGGCACCCCCTGGTGGCACAGTGGTTAAGCACTGGGCTGTTGATTCTCAATCTCTCTCTTTCTCAGAACGATAGGGCGATCTGCTTCCGTAAAGATTTACAGCCTTGGAGGCTTTACAGGGGCTTGGAATCGGTTAGTCTTATTTTGTCTTAAGTTTCCAAGACCAGATGCATTTTAAAAATACTGCTCTGGTCTCCATATGGAAAAAATAACAACCCTGCCACAAAAACCTGGTTTGAGCAAAGGAGAGGACTCCTATTCCCATCACTGTCCAACCATGGGTGAAGCGCTGTCAAGGCAGGCGTTTTATAATGTTTAAAGGGACAACTTTGTTTTTAAAGCAGATAATGCTTGGAAACGCGTATTTTCTTAATCACTGTGTAGTGTACTGAAAGTGCTTTCTCCCCTCTCTCATGGTTGTAGTGAAACTGAGCTGGCTTAGGAGTCATGTGACGTTCAATTTAATTCCACGTGGGTGGGAGTGGAATGCACCACCCAGCGTTTCCCGTCACTGCTGTGCCAGCTGCCAGGGCCCGTCGCACACCCGTGCCACACGTGGAGCCATTTGTCAGTGAAGGGGTCTTCCAGTAGCTGTGCAAACATTCCAGCTTATTACCTATTTTTCCTTTTATTGTAGGGTGGCGTTACAAAGAAAAATGTGTTCTAGTGAAGTAGGGCTCTTTGCCACATTTTTGCTTTAATGTACTCTCTTCAAGGCCTGTGATCTCATTAAAAAATTATGACATGTTTTCTTTTGTGCGAGTGTAAGATGCTGATCAGCACTAAAGTACCATTAGTTCAAAAGAAAGTCATGCTGGTCTTTACGTTCAAAGAAACCGTTGAACGGCTCCATTTTCTCCGTGACCGTGGGAGTTGCATTTGAAAGGCAGATGACTGCAGTTGTTGACTGAGCATCGTGTGTAGTAGGTCCATCCCAGTTGGGCTGGAAAGGACTGAGGAAGGCCCTCTGCCCCTTGCAGGGACCTTGTTACAGTTTGCCGGCTTTTGGACATGCTGGCACCGGTGCGCTGGCAAGAGCCTGCAGGACTGGCTCCTCTGAGGGGTGCCAGTGCTTTTGTACGTCACTCCAGTGAAAGATAACTACTCTCATTAAAGGATGCCGAGATTTGACCAAACCTCACCCTCCATCGTAGCTGGCCATCCTAAGTCAGAGAGCTCAGTTTTAACAATTTCTACTGAGTACAATTTGGAAAGGACCCAAACTGTCAGAGGTCTTTGTAGTTAGGTTTCTCCACATAGATACTATGAACTTTCTACCAAGAAGAAAGTGGAAAGTGTCAGAACGTGGATGCAGGTATGTTGTTAGTGCTTCGTATGTTAATGATTCTGAAGTTGGAAACTGGAGTTTTGTTGAGAGGCTCCCCTGCCTGTGGTGTAAGTTGAAGGCAGAGCGGGTTGTCTTTCTCTGACTTACTTTCCTCTGTTGATCTCTAGTGTAAAACAAATCCCAAACATGAGTTCTAATAGTAGACTTCTTTGTTAGCTCTAGCACATAATAGGTACATGCTTTCCTTTCTGTTCTTTCCTTCCTATAATTCTGCAAATTGGCTCCTGCTCATATTTAGTTAGCAAGTGGTCCCCAGTGAGATGGAGCTCCATCTCTGGGTGGCTGGGTGTCCGGCCCCGGTTCAGGTATGATTAGTACTGTCACACAGGAACTGCTCGCAGAAGCCAGTTTTCCCATTGTGAGGAGCCCTGGTGGTGTAGTGGTCACCCATTGGGCGCGATCCACTTGGTTGGTAGTTCATACCGCCAGTGGCTGGCTCTTCGGGAGAAAGACTGGACATTCTACTCCTGTAAACAATGAATCTTGAAGACCCACACAGGGTCCCTGTAAGTCAGCATTGACTCGGCAGCGAGTTTGGTTTTGGTTTTATCATGACTGAGGCATAAACGTTTAAGTATTGCTGCCCTCCCTCAGATTAGCACCATTTAGAACTGCTTACGGTTTCTGAGAGCCCTTGTGGGTGGGGGCAACAGGGACTGGCGTGAGGCATTCACAGTCCTCTGTGGTCTCATCTGTTGGTGTCCCTTGTAGAGTCAGCTGGCTGCACACTGAGGGGGTGATCAGGCTGGTGGTGTGGGCGAGTAAACCAGTGATTTGGGAAACGGAACCAGGAGGTGGAGGCTCGAGGCTGTGGGCAGGCCTGGCCTTGTCAGGCAGGGGAAGGCCTTGGGGAACAGAGGGAGAAAGAAGTGAGGGGCTGGCTGTGCTGGACGGAGGCTGTCGTGATTCTGCGTCAGGAGAGCCGTGACAGCAGAAGCTGGAAAGGAAGGGGGCGGCTCCCCACAGCCCCTTCAGTTCCTCAGGGTGGGTAAGAGCCCTTACTGTACCACCGCAAAGTTCTTGGGTGCTAGTGAAGGAAGGGGCCTCCCAGATTTGACCTGTTTTTAAAATCCCACAGAGTTCTAGGCGTGTATCTAAAGATACAGAGACTGGTAAGCTTTTATTTTATTTTTTGTTGCTGTTAAAGCATTTTATTGGCACACTCATTCTGATAAAAACAAACAAAGTCTTAGTAATTCTTTGAGTCCCTGTAGAACCTCACAAATAATCATTATAACCCTTTCTTTTTGCTGACTCACCTTTGTTTCTCCTGTCACCTTGTTTTCAACTGACAGCTGTATCCACACCTGACTCTCAAGTGGGTGGAGGGAGGGATGAGCACACATACCAAGAACCAAGTGACATGTGTGCCTGTCGATCTCCCCTCCCCCCTACTCTATCCCCCCCCCACCATAGGGAAGTGGGGCAATTCGTGGAGTTCAGAAGGAAGACATAGAAAACTGTGGGACTGTCTCATGATTGTTACACGTCAGCTACCTGTTACCGTCCGTGCATATTTTGGGGGAAATGTGTAGTTTTAGAGTGGGGGAAGGGAGGCAGGCAGTGCATCCTGGGAAGCAGAAAGGTGAAGAGAGGTGGGGAAAGCTAAGTTTCTCTTAGAATAACAGAAAACTGAGATTACAATTCACTTGTTCTGAATATTTTGTTAATCAATAGGAGTTACCTGTGGGACGTGGGATGGAGAGGAGCTAAATAGAGAGAATAGTGGAATTGTCATTTTAAAACCTTGATTTTAGACTAAACCCTTTTCATTCCCCATGGAACTGCCATCGAGTCCATTCTGAATGACAGCAGCTATGTAAGACAAGGTAGTACTACGCCTGCGTGTTTTCAGGACTAACTCTAGAGTCCCGTCTTTCTCCTGCTTAGGGGCTGATGATTTTGAACTGCCAACCTGTGATGAGCAGCCCAACATGTCCTCTAGGGCTCCTGTGTTTCCTGGAAGGTGTATGCCAACTGACATTGCTCTGGTTCCTAATGCCTGAAGTGTGGCTCTGTGCTAATGCTGATGTGCCCATTATGGGATGAACTTGGAAAAGAACAGGCACCTTTTAGGTCTTAGGTTTCACAGATAATGCTTAGTAACACCAAATGGCTTGTTTTTCTTTGTTTCATAAAAAGATATTCTGTTCCGTACCCTTCACTAGCAACACTTTTGACCTATGGTGTGAAAACTTAATATGTTTCATACAGGAGAAAGATGAGGTTTTTCTACTACTGTAAATAAAGAGTTACAGTCTTGGAAACCCACTGGGACAGACAGTTCTACCCTGTTCTCTGGGGTCACTCTGGGTCCCAGTCGACTTGATAGCAGTGGGTTTGGCTTTTTATGTTTTGTGTCCATCATTCAGAATGTTTGAAAGAAGTGAGCTTGTAGAACGGAGGAAGGTGTGAGACAAGATTCTTGTTCCTGCTCTTTGTTTCCTTGGTGTGCGGCAGGTACAGTTGTGTGGGGGTGGGTGGGTGGGGTGATAGACAAGCAGACTTGAGAGCTGCGGGTTTCTGTTAAATTCCCATGTTTCCCTGAAATCAGAGCTTCTTGATTCTTTTTTCTCCACTAAGTTACACCTCTTGGCATATGATGGCACAAAGGAAGATGGTGATAGTTTGGTTTTTGATGGTGATGTTTTATTAAGATGAGCACAGTTTGTAATTACTGTCTGTAGATAGCACTGAAATGGAAAGTAGGGCTTAATCGGGCCCCAAATTTGGAGTGTCTTTGGGATGCAGACAGGGTGATTCCCAAGGTTTTAAAAGGTCAGCTCTGTCGTCCCACGATGCAGACGTGCTAAAATGACCCAGCCACCATCTTTGGCTTGTTTGCGTTTAATTTCTTGGAAACAAAATGGCATTTTCACAGGCTGTTTGCTTTTGCCCGTAGCTTCTTCCAGACCAGCTGGTCTTACTCCTGGAGCACCTCTTGGAGCAGAAGTCCCTGCACCCGAGAACCCTGCAAAGTCTCCAGCGGACATACAATCTCCCCAAGCAGGATGCAGAGGTAATTGGGGTGCCATCCCCTTAAATGGCAGCACTTTCCTACTGGTGACTTGCAGTTGTAACTGTTAACACTCCTGTTTCCATTAGCAAATGTCCATACTGTTTGCGTACAAGGCCCTGTACTCACGGAAAGCATGAACTTCTTCTTTGGTTTCTGTACTGCAGCAGGTGACCCTGGGGCAGTACTTTGAGGTTCCTACAATTGCTCCCCAGATTGTAAAATCATGAGATGGCACAAGTCTCGTGAGGCAGTGAGCAAGTGGGCTGCAGAGTTCTGGGCGTCTGGTGTAGACTGGTGAATTTGGGCAGGCCGACGTTGGCACGGGTCTGTGACACATTAAGCAAACTTGCCCACATGTGTCAGAGCTTCTTGGTTGTATTTAGTTAGGACAGGAAAGGAGCCATATGTAAAGTAAATGAAAAGCAAATCGCAACAGCCATGGTTTGCCAAGGAAAACTGGATGCTTGTAGGGATGCAATATGACGTAGTCCTTAATATTTTTCAGCATAACGTGAAGAATGTAGTATGAATCCTAAGATGAAAAATACTTAATTTAGTCATTGTAAGTAAAACAAGAGAACAAACAGGAAAAACTTATAAAACTTATTGAAAATTCAGGAAATTCAAATATGTTTGACTTGACTGACTTCCTGTGGACATGTTGGAGTCACTCTTTGTGCAGTATGGAAGCCATTACCCCTGTGGCTATTGAACACGCCACACAGGGCTACTTGGAGTGGAGGTCTCTCGAAAGTGTGAACTGCACAATGGATACTGAAGGCTGTGTGAAAAAATACAGGAATGTTAAATACATCATTAATAAGATCTTTCCTGTTGGTTGGAATGCTGAAGTGACATTCATTTGGATATATTGGGTGAAATAAAATAATAATATTACAGTAATTAAAATTGGATAAATCAAGAAAAGTCAGCATATTAGATTAAAAGGATACGAGGGGGACACTTTCACATTTTAAAACCCCCATCAAATAAAAAGTTGACGCATATAACTTTTTACCCACCTGAGCATAAGATCAAAGGTTAAAACTGTTGTTTATTTATAGGAATGTCCAAATGTCAGGCTGTTATTTTTAATTGGTGTTTAAAAGACACTTCTATTTATAGGCACTATTTGTATTTTAACTCCAGCTGAATACCAGGGAAATGTCAGCTCCTGTCCCGGGCGGTGGGCAGAAAGAGGATCAAAGCGGTCACTCAGAAGATCAAACACCGTCCCTCAGTGCCCACTAAGCCCGCTTCCGCTCCTCCTCTGCTTGTTGGTCGACAACACATCTTGTTCTTCACTTAGACTTCAAGCTAGCATGTAGCCTCTGAAACCTTGCAGAGAGAGTCACAAGTTCTCTTGGACCACTCTTCTCACCCTCACAAACATAGCATGATGCACACACTGGCCAGTCCCAGCCCGGCTCTTGGGAAGGGGCTGCGGAGCTGGCATTGCCACTGCACAGTTCGCCCGTACTTGCCCTGCTGGGGCCTCGATGCCACAGCTGCCACGGAAAGGCAGGTTGACTTCGGGAGTCTTAGCTTCTCTGAGGATTGCTCATAAATAAGTGAACAGGACAAGACCGTTTCAGAGGAAAGCTATAAAGTTGGGAGTAGCTGGCTGATCGGGAGAGGCCACTCCAGAGAAGAGCAGTAGCAAGTGCAAAGGCGCCAGCTGACCCAGGACAGGTGCAGCAAACTTTATATGAAAGGCCAGGTACTTAACGAGTTTCAGACTACCCAGCCTCCGACACTGGAATTTCATGTATTCATAGTTATTGCATAAAATGTCCTCTTTATTTAAAAATGATTGTACTATTTTAAAACACACAAACCCCTTGGGCCCCTCAGGGTTCCGACTCCTGTGCTGGAGCTGGCGGGGTTGAGACAAGGGCTGGGCAGGAGCCAGGCCAACGAAGGCCTGAGACCCTTGTGCTCAGTTGGGGGATTTCTCCCTACAAGTGACTGCCCTGTCTGGGTCACCCTTCCTCTGTCTTGGGCCATTGGGGGTCCCAGCATGCAGAATTAGTTACAGCAACAGCTGATCTTACTGTGAAGTTAACCTGAGGTGTCACTCAAAACCAGAAAACATAGAGAATTTGATCATCTCTGGAACTTCTAGAAACGTTACTGGTTAAAAGTGATTTATTGTGACACTGCTTAGCTAGAATTTAGTAGCGTAACCATCTGTCTTTCAGATGACAGAACAGAAAGAATTGTTACTTGGTAGGAAACATCTTAACAATGTTCTGACTATTCTCAATAAAAACTCAAAACCCGGCGCCCTGCCATTGAGTGCTGACTCATAGTGACCTGAAAGGACAGGGTAGAACTGCCCCTGTGAGTTTCCAAGACTAACTCTGTAAGAGAAAAGAAAGCTGCCTCATCTTTCTCCCACAGAGCGGCTGGTGGTTTTGGCCTCTGACCTCCCAGTGCATAACCACTTAAACAAATGAGGATAGCCCCTGCCAACTGTATTCAATCCAAACCAAACTCACTGCCATCAAATCCGCACCTGACCCATGGTGACCTCCCGAGACTAACTTGTTGACAGGAGTGGAAAGCCCAGTCATTCCCTCATAGAGCTGCTGGTGTTTTCGAACTGCTGACCATGCAGATTGTAGCTCAACAGATAACTTTACACCAGCTATTATCAGGGCTCCTTAATATGTAAAAACCAGCTAGCCAGCGATATGGCAGTTGTATACTTCAGCAGAAGGCAGCTCCGGTAGCGTCGCTGGTTACACATTGGGCTGCTAACCACGAGGTTTCTGCTTGCGTAAAGATTGGCAGTCCCAGAAACCCGTAGGGGCAGTTCTGCTCTGCTCGACGGTCACCGTGAGTTGGAATCGCCTCACTAGTCTTGAGTGAGTGCTCCAGCCTTCCTGGGGGAAATGGCTCTGGGGGTGTGTTTCTGGCCTAGAGCTACACGTGTGGTGTGCTGGGGGCCTGGGTGTTGCACGGTGTCTGTTTAGTGGGGAAGACATCTCATGTGGGGCAGTGAGTATTTGCACATTTCTTGGGCTCCAGTGTCCAATATTCCCCATAGTTTGGCTTCTCTTCTCTGACTAGCATTTTTCCAGAACCCATATGCAAAACATCACCTTTTGAGAAGGTGAGCCTGATAGATACTGTGTTTGTTAGCTGCTGCAGTGTTTGCACAACTCGTTTGAGTCTTTTTATTGCCCTGATTGCAAACCGAAAAATCAAACCTACAGCCATCGAGTCATTGCAAGCCTGTATGGAAGCAGACAACTCCATCTTCTTCCCAAGGAGCATCTGTTGGGTGTGAACTGCCCACCTGTGGTTACCAGAGCTAGTGCATCTTAAAACTCTTGTTGGCAGAGCAACGCTTTCTTGCCGTGTAGTGTTGAAAGAGTCTTCTCTGTAAGAAGCCTATTCTGACAGCACAGTGGTTCAGGGTCATGTGCCCCAGTAGTCACGGTAGCTTATCAGCCAGGCAGCTCTGCATTCCTTCTTCCCTCCCTCCCACCGCCCTTTGCAGTGTGTGTAAGTGGAAAATGGCTTTTAATGGCTTTTTTAGGTATCACAGTATTTATATGAGTTTGGCTACTTCTTTGTTTCAATCACAGACTAGCTGACCTGCTGATCAGAATTTTGGAAGAGTGAGGGGGTCCTGAGACTAATGGTGTTGCTTGCCCACCCTCAGTGTGTGAATACAGAATTCTCTTGAATTCTCTTGAGTGAAATGATAGCAAGTGTCCAACATTTCAAGGAACACTGCACAAAAGCCAACACTCGGTAAGAAAGCGGTTAGAGTACTTGATACGGTCCTGGGCCATTCCACATTTCATGACCTGCCTACTCTCTCCCGCCTGAAGAATGAGACTGAGATGGAAGAACACCTCATTCCTCCAGCAGGAAAGTAGCTGTATTAGGCCAGGTTAAGTCAAGAAACAAATCCAGTGACACTCATGTAAGTGGAAGGAAGAGCAGTATATCAAGAAGCTTTGTATATCAGGGAAACATCCCAGCCCAGTCCAGCTCAAATCCGTAAGTCTATTGGCCCACAAGCCCTCTTCAGGCTCACACAGCTACCTGCAGTGAGCAGAATGCAGGAGGAATCACCAGCGGTGGGTGCAAGGTTGTATGGATCCAGTGGTGCAGTTCCTCACAGAGCCCTGCTGGCTCTCAGAGTGGCTCACCATCAGGAAGGTGAAGGTG